TTGTAACCCTCCAGACAGCTGCACCTCATTCTAAAGACATTATATGTTTTCCTTAGAGAAAGACATCAAACAAGGAAGTCCATGGTGGGCAGGAAGAAGTGATAAGGGTACATGAGCTGACAGCCCACTTCAGGAAACATCTTTCAGAGTCTATTTTCCAAGGAAGTCAATTTGACCTGGTGTTCCTCTCACCCAAGACAAAGAAAACAGTCCTCCAGGAGTTGCCCGGTCGGCACAAAGGAGGTGTTCAATAAATGCTGGCTGACTCTGAACAGGCAAACCACAGCAACTACTCAGATTATTTTGTTTGTTCAAAAAAAAAGGAGAGAGGCAGATTTTCTCATCAGCTCTCTTTCAGTTTTCCAGTTAACCATTTGCTGAGGATGCCACAGCTGGCTCCCCAACCCAAAAGCCAGTGACAGCAAATCTCTCAAATGAGTCACAAACAATGCATGATCAAACAACTGAATCAAGTCAGTCCCTCCTTCATTTTCTGTGGCTGACGTTAATTAAAGAGCACAAGCAACATGCTATCACATTGAACTAAACAGTTTTTCACTTTAAAATAAAATCTTTACTGGTGTCAAATTTAAAATTCCACTATTGTATCTATTAGAGGCCAAGACAAAATGCAATTTTTTTTCATTATATAAAAAACATTTAAAATTAAAGAAAACTTGGAAAAAAGACAAAAGAATCAGCCAGAAAAAGAGAAGGGTAGAAAACAATCAGTCATAAGACTTACCACTCAAAAACAGCACCTATCAACATTTTGGTTCATTATATTTCCATTTTTTCCCCTAAGCATAAGATTAGTTTTGCAGGTTTTGCCTACCTGTAATCATATAGTATATGCTAGTCCCATCTGCAGCTTGTGTCACTTAAATTATACCATAAGCATTTCCCCACTTTTTTTTCTTCTTAACCTTGTATAACTGCATAGATGGTAAAGCTTTTTAACTAAACCAAGAAATACCATTTGCTTTCTTTCACAGAAACTACTTTAGTAAAAACTGAGAATTTCCAAAGCTCCTGGGGTCACTAGAGCTAAGATACATGAAAAATGCCTAGACACATAGGAAATTTTTAAGATAGTTAACTGACTTCCAAGTGACAAACAGAATATTTACTATAGTCATATCTGGAAAGATACAAAAGAAATTAAATTCAGCCTCTGTTCCCAGTGAATTTTTAATACCACCGAGAAGATAAAATGTATTTACACCCAATAATTGAAACCCAGCTTACAACAGTCCTGGCTTTTCTAGAGCTGGGGATACTTTATTCATTTCTGCAGCCCTAGCATGAAAAACAGTGCCTGGCATATAACAGATACTCAAGAAATGACTGGACTAGACTGAACTACAAACTAAGAGCTATGCTTATATGGAAATAGGAAAGGTCAACGTGAGCTGAGGTTAGGTTAGGAAGAGTAGCAGCATGAATATAGCAGAATGCGACTCTGGCAATAATTTACAGAGAGAAGGCTAAACCATAGAAGCTTTGGGATTCTGTGAAAATCAAAGATAACATAAGAAAAAAATGTTTGTATAGTCTTAATTTATTAAACAGTTTGATGTTTCTACACAATCAGCATTGAAACCCCTGTTGAATATACACTAACTACTCACAGGAAATACAATATATAAAATAGATACTACCTAAAAACAAAGAAAACACACCAACACAAAATACTACAGCATTCCTTTAAATCAGAAACAAAGGCTAATTCTCAGGAAGCTTTCTGTATATCATGACAAGTGGCAAAGAGGCAGTAAATTAAGGCTTTAGATCTCCACATACAGTACCATAGTGGATACTGTCCTTGCTAAACTAGGTGTAAAAGAATGTGCTTACCAAAACGTTCTTTCAGGATCTCTTTATACTCCAGTGAAGCTATTTGCATATATGGTTAGCATTCAGAGGGTAGAGAAAGAAGATCTGAAATCTGTATTCAACCCTAACACCATCACACTCACACCACCTGACTCTAAACATAACTTAAAAAGAGAATCCAGCTTCATGAATAGTGTCTCATTCAACAGACTCCATACATCCTAACTTCATTCACACACATATTTTCTTTTCTTTTCCCCCACTTGTGCTTTGAAAAAATTCAAAGAATTTATGGAGAAGGAATCTGCTATTATCACATCTCTAACAGCTGCTAGCTAGATATACTAAATCCACAGCTCCTTGGATTATGACAGTTACATTATATGTCCATGTCAGAAAGTGTGCTTAATTACAAATATGGTTTCTTTCAGAGAAACTCTTCTAAGCCTAGCCTACTGGGACTCCTTAAGAGCAAGTTATACAGACCTTAGGGGCTGGGTGGAGGATAATTTTGTCTGGATGTAATACTGCAATTACTTATGATTAAGTATTTCTAATAGCTATCCATTCAGTCTCGGCAGCCTGAAGCACTCAAGAAGAAATGCCTATCAACAAGTCATTTGGGAATGAACAGCTGATTTGAGGAACTGCATGCCGCAGGGCAGGTGTTCTTTGTTTTTCTGAAACACACACACACACACACACACACACACGATAGTAATTATATCTGCCAGATAATTTAAAAAGAATTAAAACAATATAAAATAAATCATTCTAAAAAATGTTTTAGAATATTTTTCAAAATTTTTCCTAGAAGTTTTAATTTTCAGATTTTGCTGAACTACAGCACACAAGTTGTCTTATCCCAAGAATACAAACTGTCACTGTTTTAATTCTAAATGAAGCACTTCTCTCTAGGACATCAAAAGATTTGGAAACCAAAAAGTAATTACTACATAATCATTCAAAAAAGACATGTGGTGTAACATTTGTAAGGTTGAACCGCACCTGTCACCAATACAACAAAAGAATATTTTATATACAAACCACACAGCTTTGAACATTTGATAATTTGTTAAACTGGTGTATAACAAGAAATCCACTGTCAAATGCAATACAAGTAACTAGAAATTAGATTAACAAAAACAATTCAAGATTTCTAAATTTAAAATGCATGGGCTTATCACCCTGAGCAAGTTACTGAATCTCTCTGTACTTGTTTCTTCATCCACAAAATGGGCAAAATAATAGTAAAAACCTCTGAGAGTTGTTATCAACATGAAATGAATACATATTAAATTGTTATAACAGAGCCTGGCAAAGGCTAATAAAAAAAGGTATTATATCAGGAACAAATTTTTTAAATGACAATGCTGAAAAATAATAGTAATTGAAAAGAATAATCATATAAATAAAAGACACACAGCTGTCATGACCTGTGAAAGAATAGTTTTCAAGGTATTATACTATGTTTAGAGTACATACAAAATAACAGAAAAAGAACTCCCTACTTAAAAAAAAAAAAGCTGCATCCTCTCAAAGTGATTGTCATCAGCCCTATTTTGCAAAATTTTATGCTTCCTCCTATGCTCTGCAGGTAAATCCCAGCCCTTAATATCAAGAAAGCCACAAAACCTGCACCTCCAGGAGAGCAAAATAAAGGGTATGTGAGGTCCTTGGCATCTTCTTTAGTTTTATTAACAAGCCACCAAGTTGAAATTCATTCCTAAATTGCCAAATGTGTCTGCAATAAAAACTGCAAACTTTCATGTGAACAGAACTTTTCAACAATAGAGAGTTGTTCCAGTCTGTGAATAGGACAGTGTCAATGTGACCAACAAAGCCGGGAGCTGGACATTCCTGACACCCTTGTCCCCTGGCTAGCCTTTGATCATTTATATCTCCCAACCACGTGTTTTTGGACATCACTTTCAGGCAAAGTATATGGACAACATCTATACCCTGAAACTGATCCCTCATCATAGAGTCCTGTTTCCACAGCTCCTCAGACCCCCACTTTTATCTACCACCATTATGAACATTCCACAAGAACGAACATCAAACACAGGAGTGCTTTGTTTTCCTAGTCTGTCACCCCCACTCCCAGTCACTTTGTGCTTTAATTTGTCTATTTTGGAAAACATCATGGGATGACAACGGCAACTCAGCCAAACAATAAAATGACCTAAGAACTGAAAAGACCTTCAGATGGTTCTACGGATCTGGTTACCTGTGGATGTCCACCACAGAAGTGTGGTAGTGCTTTATGGAAACGCGAGTTTACGACTCACTCGGAACACTGTCTTGGAAAGGAGACTTAAGTCTTAGCTCTCTTACCTGGAAATGAGTTAATAAAATCCACCTCCCAAAGTTCTTGTAAGCACTAAATGAGATAAAGATCTCAAAGTGCCTAGTATACAGTACATGCTCACTAAATACAATCTACTTCAGTCCTTCTGTCCAACTGTCCTGGGACACACAAATCTAAGAGAATTCCAGACAGTGGAAAAGACAAAACTCCCAAGTTTATCAGTGTGACCTGATCAAAATGGCCCAGATGCTATTTCAGGGTAAGGGTCTGTGGGGTCTCCTAGGCCAGGCTGGAGACAAAAAGAATACTTGATTGAGATCTGTTGTGCCATTTTATTTCCCCCAAAGTAAAGCTGGGTTTGCCCAATTCAGTTCCTTTGTTTACAGCAAGAGAGAAATGAACAGCAGAACCCCAGAAGGCTATGACCAAGAAGACAGATAGGCCTCAGAGCTGTGCCTCGCTGGTACTTCGGAAGGCCCCTCACTATCCACTTCTGGGCAAGGCGCTCGCTCCGCAGTGTCTTCTAGCAAGTTCCGAGCCCACGCCTAAGCTGCCACAGTCTTTCCAGAGAGATGTACCCTCCGCCCGGGGACCGGCCCACAGCCCCGAGAGAGCTACCCTGGCCTCGAACGGGCCCCTCACACCCCCGCACCCACCCGGCTGGGACCCCGCCTGGAGGCCCCTCATCGACCCCTTTCCGCCGGGACGCGGGCGCGCGCCGCTCCTCCGGCCGAGTCCCCCGCTTTCCCGGAGCCGGGACCGCTATTCCCGCCTGGACCGACTCCAGCCGCTCCGCTCAACTCCCATCCGCCCTAGATCCTCCTCTCCCAAAGACAGAAACACGCACACTCACCCCTGAAAAGCAGTAGTAGGAAGAAGTCGGGCAGCCGGGCGCAGAGCCGGACCGCCGGCCGCCGCCTCAGCGCCATGACGAGGGGAGCTGAGGGGCCGCGGGATCGCGGCGCAGCTAGGCTTCCCCGCGCGCATGCGCCTTGCCTGCCGGGGCCCCTACTACCCGCCCCTAGTTACCATAGCGACACCTGGCCCGGCACAGCCGTCACCATGGTGACAAAGGAAGCTGAACTCTGGTTGCTACGGATGCAGGGATGCTCTAGACCCGCGCCCATGCGGTCTCATTCAAAGAATTTGATGGGCGGAGGTAAAGAAGTGTGTTCAAGAATGGGGCGGGGTAAATTTCCATAGCTATAAAATGAATCCGGCACTACAAATCAGAGAAGGAACACTCAATTAAAACTTGGAAACGAAGTGTTTCCTCACAAATAAAGATGCAATCTAATTGTCTTTGAAGCATTATTGCCTGCACCTCTTTTGAGGCCCTGATTCCAAATGTGATGGAAGGAAAAAGCACTGAAATCTACTTAAAACATAAGACAAAAAAAAAAAAACCCATAATCAAGACATATATTATGTAGCATATAAAAGTGATGTCTTTCTAAAATAAACATAATCCTGGCACCTGGGTGGCTCAGTTGGTTAAAATAAACATAATCCATAGTTTCTGTGGTAGATAAAAACATGATGATAGGGTCGTCTGGGTGGCTAAGTCCTTAAGCGTCTGCCTCCAGCTCAGGTCATGATCCCAGGGTCCTGGGATCGAGCCCCACATCGGGCTCCCTGCTCAGTGGGGAGCCTGCTTCTCCCTCTCCCACTCCCCCTGCTTGTGTTCCCTCTCTTGCTGTGTCTCTCTCTGTCAAACAAATAAAATCTTTAAAAAAAAAAACCATGATGATATATCCATAGTTTCTTCTGCAGAAAAGCAGGATAATTCTTTGCTCTGATTTCTGAATATTGGAAAATGGTAAGGCCAGGGTAGAAAATGGAGCAGAATCTTATGAGGACAAGGAGATAAGATAAAGGATAAAATGCACCGGAAATTGAACCAAAGGATGGAGGAAGTTTTGTGTGTCACTTAATACTGTGAAAATTCTTGAAATAGTTTGTATTATATCTAATATAGAAAATGCACCCTTAATGCTCCAGGAAACAACTTAAAAACAGAATTTTGAGTATAATTATTAGTATAATATGCCAGAGTTTCCAACAACTAATATTTTTTTAATGTTTAACTTAAGGACTTCATTTTTCATACAGTCTCCCTACATTTTTTTAGTATTTTTAGTTTTTACAAAGTAGAACAGTGTGTGTGTATAATTTCCATATATACCAAATTATGAATGCCAAGAAACATGAAATAGATTGAGGTTGTTGCCAAGGATATGCTTCAACTGCCATCACTTTATATGATCTTCTTTATAAATCTTTATAATTGCTCAAAACTTTGCAAGTGTGAATTAATTACATTCTCAAAATCTCATAAAGACAGAAAAAAATTAAAAATAACTCAACAACCTGCTATGATTTTATTTGTCTTTCCTTTCTTAAACCTTCTTTCTGTTCCAGTTCACCATATTCCAGTCACAAGTAAAAGTATCTGAAAATTATATTAGAGTGGCAGCCTTTCTTCCTTCATCAAACACAACTTACAGGAATTAAAAAGAGGAAAATTCTTCTTAGGCCCACTGACTTTTTTCCTTTGATTTCTCTTTTCTTTATCATTCCCTTTAGTTCCTGGATATATAGCCAGGCATATTTGCCTAAATGAAGGAATCATTTTGGTTACCTGAGAAATATGAAGTGTCCGGCTATGGACGGAGTAGTTTTCAAAAACTAGTGCCTCTTTTCTCCTGCTGTATTTCCTCTGTTTGCACTGTGATATGGTTATATTAAATGGTCTTCTCTGTTAGGGAATCTTTTCAAACTCAGAACAAGACCAGAGGGAAAGGCTCCATGAATATTCTATATGGAACAGAGGTTGCTTTGAGAGCAGATGCAGGTGCTTCATTATAAAACATGGATTTTCCTCCACAGATGGAGTCTGCATGTTATGGCCGGTGGTTGAGACACAATCCTGGAATGGAGCCTAACTAGTGATGCACTAGGACAGGGTAAGATGTACTTGACTGTGAAATGATCTGCTTCTCCATATGATTAATTGTTCCCAGGAGAGCTCTGGCCCTGTTAGGAAGGGAACCAGAGTTTTGGAAGCAGTCAGTGAGTGGGGCTGCAGAATCTATGCTTCTATCACCACATTATCCAACTGAGTATGCTTATTTCTAATGTGTGATTTACTAAGGAGAGATACATTTTTTAGAAGCATTCAGGGAACTAAATACGTATGTGCTAAACTTGAACAAAAGCATTTGCAAGACTTTTCAATATTAATGCAAAGTGTAAATCAAGTAGCAAACAGTAGGGTTTTCCTGTGAGAGTCACCCCTGAACAGAAAGGAGAGGTCCTGGAAGCAGCAATTATAGGAGGGGAAATATAAGCTCTGGAGTCTAATGGACAATGATTCAAGTTCTTGGTTTTTGTAAACTTGAGAAAGTTATTTAATTTCCCTAAGCCTTGGATTCTTTGTCTGTAAAACAGGGATATCAATACCTACCTCAAGTAGTCATTGTGAGAATTGTGTGAAATAAAGATCTCGAACATACTAGGTGCTCCATAGATGTTTGTGGTCTGTGCCCCTTCCCTTTCCTACTCTTTTGGCTCAGATTGGGCCAAATGATACAATATTCCTGGAGAGTCTTAAAGAAAAGGACCTTCAGCCTGTAGATGGGTCAGAAAGAATGAGAAGCAAAGAGGAAGTTTTACATCAATGTGTGTTTGTTTTCTTGGTGTGATGGTATTCTTAGAAAGTAACATGACTAGGGCTTCTATTCTGTTCATTCAGTATGCCATGATCCACCTGAACAATCACCTCAAGTCAACCCTCACAGCAAGAGAGAAGTGAGATTCATTGACTGAAGGAGGTCTCCGACCCTAGATTCATTCTGTAAAAGCTTTCCTCTTCAGGACTTAGCAAAGTTTCTGTTGCTCCATCTCGTCTCCATTCAGGTTTCCTCTTCCTTGAAATATTTCCAACTTTGTTCTCTCACATTTTCTCCCAACTATCAGGCCCTGCTCCTTCTCTTCAAAATATCTCTTCAAGTTCATTTAAATAGAAGGATTGCTACCCCTCCCCCCAAACTAAGGAAACAGTAGGAAGGAAAACCTCCATCCCCTCTAACTAGATGTGCTGCTCATGCTATATAAGGAAGGAAAGTTGTGCAGTTCAGCTTATTTTCATGGCCCTCTCCTTTGTAGTGGTTCAGTTGAGGAAGATGATACTAATGCCAATGTTTTAGCTTAAAGTGTCTTCCTAGAGAGAAACCTTTATAAGCAGCTGTTTAGCAGCCCTTTCATATTTCACCAAAAGGAGGCTGGTGTTCATGTGCTAGAGTGTGTTAGTGTGTGTTTGTGTGTGGTGGTATTTAAATAAGTATATCGTACATGTCATGGGTGAAAGACTCACTCACCTCTGCTAGGGGAGGACTTGGAGGGTCCCGTCCCCATCGGCCAGGATCTGTATTCACCAGTGCACCTGGAAATGCAACACAACAACCAAGACTGAATGGACAATTTCATGACCACAACAGAGCCCTGACACAGGATTTGCTGTTCTGAGACTGAAGCCTCTAAGAACTGTGAATCCCAAGTTCCCCTCTTAAGGAGTCTGCCTCAGTTCCTTCTCTGAGGAAGTAGAGAAGCAGGATTTGCCTGGATGCTCCCTCCAGACACCAGGAAAAGGTGTTAGGGACAGCGAGCAAACAACACTCCCCAGACCACCTTCAGGAAGGACACGTGTGATGAGATAAAACAAACGAGCTCTTTCCTCTACTTGACTTGATGAATATTTCCACTGGCTGGGGGCGGGGGGGGGAGAAGATGGGAAATGTTTCCTCATCTGTGTTTCAGAACTGGGGACACGATTGAGCACAAAGGACACACATGCTATGGGGACTATCTTGGAGCCAGGCTAAAGAGCAGATTCAGGGGCAGGGGTGGGGCAGCTCCTAAGAGTGGGCAGACAGCGTATCCTCAGCTCTGCAGCTCAAGTTGTTTGCCTCTGGGATGCTCCAACTACTTTGTTTACAGATTGGAGATATTTTTATCCCAACTTCCAATTAGAGGTAATTTTTTCTTCATACAAATTGTACCATCGAGGGTTTACTTCCTGGGAGCACCAAAGAGAGACCAGGGCCTCTGTTATCTCCCTCTTGTGCTGCAGGGAATCTTGCACTTCCTTCGGAGTCCCTTCCAGGGTCAATTCCCTACTGTACAGTTTGGGGAAGAGGCGAGTTCTTCTTGATAGCCTTGGGCCCAGGGGTTTGGCCTGGTAACTTGTACTGCTCATTTCTTTCCAGGGATGAAAGGATACTTTTTGTGGTTGTCATTGCAGAGTTCCTGGATATTCTGTGTAGGACTGGAAATAGTGGGTATTTGATTCTATTTCCCAGATCTGTAATGTGATGGGGATTATACCACAAGCCTTTTTTCCCCTAGAGATTATTCACTACCATGCCTCTTAAGCAAGTGGATAAGGGCTCTAGAAAGGACTTTGAAGTTTCTCTTTAATCCCATAGAATTGTATTCCCACAAAATTTAGGATTGGGAGGAGTGGATGTGTTTGGTCCTCTGTGATGATATCTGGTCTTCAAATACTCAATAGCACAGCAGAGATTTACTGCAGTTGGGAGGCTACTCTAGCCCTACAAAGGACAGAGGACCATCCCCTGAGAATGTCTACACTCTGCACCCTTTACACCCTGAGGTCTTGCCTTATTCCTGTCACTTTCCAGGCAGTATTTCATATTCTGGCCAAGCCTTGTTCCCTAGAATTGCACTGCCCAGTGTAGTCCAGGCCCAGCACTAGCAGCTGCCCAAGACAGACCCTGGAAGGACTGGGAAGCTCTGCTAAGCATTTAGATCCTCCTTGTGCAGCACCCCCAACATCAATGGTCACCCCACTGCCACCAACCTAGAGCAAGCTGCATCAGTTTTCATTTAGATTGTGAAGAGATACAGGCACCTGCCTGTATCTTCTGTTTCTAGACCTTTCT